TTGCTTCTATGACACGTTAATATTTTACTTTTCAAGGCCTTAATGGTAATTCTAACTCCATTGTCAGACTATAGAGTTCTGGCGGGAAGCTGACATTCTTTCAAAGCTTCACCATCCAAATGTTGTGGCATTTTATGGTGTGGTGCAAGATGGACCAGGGGGAACACTTGCTACTGTTACGGAGTACATGGTTGATGGTTCTCTTAGGCATGTCTTACTTCGAAAAGACAGGTAATAGGTGGTTGTATACCGTTCTCTATGTTTCTAGTTTGTTTCGTGCTCTCAGATAATCATAGTTATACTTTCATCCATCTGTTTCAAGTTCACTGTTTATGAATGGAAGCGATTTTTTCCTTTCTTTTCACCTTCTTTGAATCTTCAAACGCAGGTATCTCGATCGCCGCAAGCGACTAATAATTGCCATGGATGCGGCATTTGGAATGGAATATTTACACTCAAAGAATATTGTGCATTTTGACTTGAAGTGTGACAACTTACTTGTGAACCTAAAAGATCCTGCACGTCCAATTTGCAAGGTAATTATTATGAAATTACTGTATTGAACTAGGAAAATGATTATTTTTCTCTCTTTGCAACTCACATTGAATATTCTAATAATACGTATGGCTTCCCAGGTCGGTGATTTTGGGCTTTCAAAAATTAAGCGAAATACCCTGGTTTCTGGTGGTGTACGGGGAACGTTACCATGGATGGCCCCAGAGTTGCTGAATGGCAGCAGCACGAAGGTCTCCGAAAAGGTAAGATTTATTTATGAGTTTTTTAGTTTAAAATTATTTAGTTTATTATATATCTTTTACAATGGAGATAGAAGTAGATAGATAATAAGTGATAGAGAGTACCAATTAATCGCAGTTAGATATAGGGAAGTCTAACATGATTGAAGTTTCATACTGGATCTCTTTCTATTTAAAAAATAAAGTTGGATGAAACTAAAATTGTCCGATTGGTGGAGAAGTTGTTCTTATGATTTATTTTTGTTTCTTGTTCTTGAATGCCTTTCTTTTATAGGGTCTGATTAATGTCGAATGACCTGGTAGACGTACTTCATTGCTTCCCTCGTCTGAGTCTTGATTAAATGTTGTAGGTTGATATTTTCTCCTTTGGCATTGTCTTATGGGAGATTCTTACTGGCGAGGAGCCGTATGCCAACATGCACTATGGAGCAATTATAGGTAAGTAATTGTTTTTACTCTCTTCCTTTCGTTGAGGTTGTGCGTGCATGTCAATATTGTTGCACCGCTTAAGACTGATGTTTGCCTCCGGATTTAATTTTTTCGAATTTTGAATACCTGCAGGAGGTATTGTAAATAACACATTGAGACCCACCATTCCAAGTTACTGTGATCCCGAATGGAAAACGCTTATGGAGCAGTGTTGGGCCCCTAATCCTGCAGCCAGGCCATCGTTCACAGAAATCGCCAGATGCTTACGAGTAATGAGTACAGCGGCTAGCCAACCTAAAGCACAGGGTCACAAAGCTCCTAAATAATAATATGTACACTTGTGTCGGTTTTGCAATATTTAGACGCGATATTTATTTGTTCAATCGTTAACTCACAAGATAGTGTGTGTGATATCCTGATCGGAGCACAGATCCATCGTTTCCACTATTTCCGGAATGGAATTGGCTCCGATCAAAGCAGTTCCTTTTGTTTACTTTATTCCCAAGAAATTCACGAAATTGTAGCGGATTGTCTGAGCTTTTGGAAAGAGAATGCAGAGTTGTTTGGTTTTTGCTGCTCCTATATCCATGCATTTATTTTATACCAGTTTGCCAACTTTTCAGATTTACTGTGACTTGTGGTTGGTAGGCCAGCATCAGTAAAATATGCTTAGGAATCAAATTCTAGCATCATTGTGTTCCTTGATTGCGAGTTATTACTTTCCAATAGACTATGCCAATGGCTTAACCGAATCGACCAGCTGCAAGCCTGCAACGACAGATTATATGTCGGGGACGGCTATCTAGGAGGAAGAAACGCTGCGCGCTTGCCATGCCGATGCCAGCATTATCGGCCTGCCTTTCCACCCGAGGAGGAGACAATCCTTTTCAGTAGCCGAAGTGTAGCCATCACAGCCATAAACAGATAACATCATCCTTGCTTGACTTGTACACTTCAACCCCGTCTCTTGAAACCCGCCTTGCCCTAATTGCCTTCTCCACTGGTCTGCCCTCTCATGCCTCGCAATCCTGTTTGAGCCCTCAAAGGTGACAATGTTTCTGATTTCGTGCGCAAAAATGCTGCCTCTTGATCTTCATCCTCTAAGGGCTGCTTCGCGGGAGGCTAGCCTCGGGTTAGTCGAAAATTGCGGAGTAAAAGTGAAGAGACTAGAGGAATCTCCCGAGGAAAAATGACCCGTTGTGGTTTGCATCTTGTTCCACCAATGTAAGCACAGATGGACCTAATTTCCTCAAAGCTTGAAGGATTGCCTTCAGAGAGCCTCTACTCTTTTTGACATACATTCGCAAGTGCATGATGCTATTGACAAATAATGCTTTCCCTTCTCTCAAGTCCAGGTTCTCTCTATTCAGAAGCGATGGTGTCCCCGGCTCCGATATCAAATTGAACTCTGTTAGCATCCCTAGTGAGGTAGCCTCCTCCATCAAGGCTCTCATGCCATCTTCAAGTTCAAACGGATTGTGATCTTCAACGAGTCCCGCGGTCCACACCATGACTCACCTCCTCAACCCTGGGCCGCATCTTGGTTTTCGAAACCGGAAAATCATCCACTAAGCCACTCATATCCACATGATCATCTTCTGCTTCCATCATAATCAAAACATCTCCATACAGATCATCCACCATTGAAAATGTCTCAATCCCATCTTGATCAGAGTACTCAATACTCAATACTACTACTACTACTACTACTTTGTTGTTTCTCCATGGATTGAATGTCATTATCACCAATGCAAATGCAATGATCCATGTTGATGAAGCTGTCGACAAATTCGTCAACCTCGGAAGGAGTATTCTCTCCTGCTCCGCACCTTCGCCTCCACCTCGTCCTCCTCCTTGTTCTTGCTCAAGTCGCGCCAGACAAAACCTCCGAATGCTGAGATCATGGTTAAGGCTCTCATGCAAGGTGAAGAAGAGCCAAGCATTGAAGCCTTCCATTGCTAGGTTTTGGAGGAGTTTCTAGGGAACGAACATCAAGAGGAGAATATATGCTTATTAGAGATTTAGGAACTTAAGTGGTTCCCCAACTCACACAGTGTAAAATGTTTAGAATATTCCCTACTCACATGTTGTTACAACTAATTCTTGAAAGTGGGATAAGCTTTGGACATTCAGAAACTGATAAAAATCAAGCACCAGTCATGCACGTAAGTATTTTCTGATGGTAAATTACTATAAAATTTGTATTTAATCAGTGATAAAAGTTGTCACGCACACATAAACGACTGACCGTAACATAACTCTAATAAGTTTCACATCTCACATAAAACAAATAGGCATTATTTTTAATGGTTATGCATCATATTGGGATGCCCCACCCCTCCCTCAAAGGGAACATGATAAGGGGGGAACAGCAAGTTCTATTGTTATTAGATGTAGAAAGGTTTACATGAGTAGCCAGACAGCCTTAAAAATAAACAGTTTGGGAGTTTTGACTTTTGAGTCGGTAACTACAACAATTAGTGCGGCTTTAATTGGTTGTCATTTGTTGTTTGTCACAAGTCCTTCTCGCCTTGGTCGGCCGACAAGCAATGAGACGGAGGAGGTGGTCTCGGCTCTCACTGCCTCTGCTGCTTTGCTTGCAACCGGTTTGGTTTTAGAGCAAGAGTGATGTTATCCGAACACTCTTTTTTATCTGTTATACATTTTCAATTTATGGTCGAGCCACCTTTCACTTCCAGTAGACCGTGTCAACTCAACCCCAACTACCCTAGGTTTGAGAGGTTTTGTATAGTTGACCTAAAATTCAAACATAAGCGCAAATTAACACCACTTACGCACAAATAAGAACTTGAATGCCACCTTGTAGTGCACAAGTCTAACATATGAACGAGGTTTTGTGTGGGAGGATGTCTTGGTCCCTCATTCATTTCCTTAACCGCTCTAGATCATAATTGAGGGCAAAATCCTATGATTTTACTTTGTGGCTCCTCATGATATAAAACTTAGCTTTGTCAGTATGAGAAGAACAAATTGTATGACACAAACAATAGCAATAACACAAAGACATGTGAAAAAAAACTAGTACATGTCATTTTTCTTTTCCACTGCGAAAGCATCCAACCTTCTTATAAGATGGGACCACACAAGTGTGACCACACATGCAGACACGTGATCCAACACTTGTACATCAGAGTTTTGCCATGTCAATACTCCATAGACGAATTGAGATATTTTCTGGATTCTTGTGTTCGGATTCCAAGGACCAGGAGATCCAAACCACTCATTTAAATTTTGCAACTCTCCTTAGCCCATTCTACTATTTCACTTCACACAAATCAAGAGTCTCGAGCTCTCTCTTCAACGGCTCGAATCTCCTAATCATTAGACTTTGAACACAGAGATCTGAAGAGAATGTCAATCCTCAGTAAACTACTAATACTCAGTAATACGGTCTGGTGATATTCTTTTTCACTTGGAAGTGTGAGATCTTAGGTTCGAATCTCGTGGATGACGAACTCGATATCAAATTAGGCTGCTCATTATGTGATTTTGCTGAACTCTCCATTTTCTTAATGTAAGAATATCGATATATTAAAAAAAAAAAGTCATGGGGACCCCTTGTGTCACGTGACCGCATGAAATCGCTCCACGGTCCATCGACTCCATCCCGCATGCTTACCTAGATCAAATTATATTTCCGAAAATACCCTTTACCAACATATATGCGGTGCTTTTTCTCATACGTCACAATCGTATACGCGAGCATCCCTGTCCACTGTAGCCCCAGTGAGGTATCGACGCGTGGCAGCTCTGAACATAACTCCTAGAATAGTCAGAACTCTCAGTCTTCGAAACGTGTCAACCTAGCGATACTCCCGAACTCTCTCCTTTTCTCTCTCTAAAAAGCCCAAACATTTCAAACTTTCTGTCCCTCCCATTTGACTCTCTCACTCTCTCTCTTTCTCTCTCTAGATTCCTCTCTTTTTCTCTGTTAGGGTTTCTGCCAAGGAAAAGATTCAGCTAAGCTCTAATGGGTAATTCTTAATTTTACTTTTTTCTTTGGGTTTTCTGAGGAAATTTTGTTGTTAGATGGTTTGTTGGCCTGTAATTTTGTTTGTATCCTCTGTTTGGTTGCTGGGAAAGTTTAGGCAAGAAAAATGGAATATTTTCCATCTTTATCTGTTTGTGTTGTTCTGGATTGTGTTATAATTAGTGGGTTCACTTAAGTTAAGCACTCAATGGGAAAAAAGATAGAATTTTGGTTTTTCAGCAACCAAACAATGCATTAGTAGCTTGAGTGTGATTAAAATGAAATTAAAACTTCCCTAATCCTCTGTTAACTGGTTGTTTAGTTAATTATCATGTATTATTCAAGCTGATTTTTTAGATTTTTATGCGGTTGATTTTCTTATGTTCTTATTGTTTGAAGGGTTTTGTGTTCATTTGTGATTATAAAGAATGCATGATGTGCCATAAAATTTCTAAAACAATTTTGGCATGACGATCTGCAGAAGCGGGACGTGTTGTTTAGTGAAGGAACAGTGGGGTCATTTTTCCTCAATCAACAGAGCAGATTGGTTAAGGACTGAGAAATTATAAAAATTTAGACTCTCAAATTAGCTATATTTTGCCCTGGCATGGTTCTAAGCATGCATATAGTGGATAGATGCATCAAAACAGAACTCGTGGTTGGTTATTGGAGAGGCGTAAACCTGTTGCTGAATTAAACGAAGCTTATTGAATATCGGAATGTTCCTTCATCAAATCCAGAGTCCACCCAGATTTTTGGTATAGGTCTCCATATCAGTTTTTCAAAATATGCAACACCGACTATCCCTTAGAAACGGGAGTTGGAGGTGGTTGAAACATTTTGGTTTTGGTGTAAAGGCGATGCTTGAGCTCTAAGGTTTATCTGTGTCATTGAGTCATTGAGTCAAATTTTGTTTTATGCTCTATGAAAGCCGTATATCCTCCATCAAAGAGAGGACCACTATATTTTAAGTTCTTTTATTCATTTTGTTATTCTTCATCCAGCATTGTGATTAGGGAATAGCAAGGACAAGAAGGATACTTGCATGGATCACTCAGAACAAACACTGCAACAACAGCACCAGCAGCAGCACCATCAACAGCAGCCTGCAGTTGGTGTCGTAGCAGGTTCTGGTCAAATGACATCATATCCTCCTCCTTCGTATCAAAGTGCTCCCATGGTGGCTTCTGGAACTCCTGCTGTGTCTGTCCCTTCCCCAACGCACCCTCCCACCACTTTCCCTGATCCGTCACATCAGCTTGCCTACCAGAAAATACAGCACTTTCACCACCAACAACAGGTGCAACAACAGATGCAGCTTCAAGAGTTCTGGTCGGACCAAATGCAAGACATTGAGAAAGCATCCGACTTCAAGAATCACAGCCTTCCACTTGCTAGAATTAAGAAAATAATGAAAGCTGATGAGGATGTTCGAATGATATCTGCTGAGGCTCCAGTTATATTTGCAAAGGCATGCGAAATATTCATCTTGGAGCTGACTTTGCGCTCGTGGATTCACACAGAGGAGAACAAAAGGAGGACATTACAAAAGAATGATATCGCAGCAGCTATTTCAAGGACTGACGTCTTTGATTTTTTGGTTGATATTATCCCAAGAGATGAGTTGAAAGAAGAGGCACTTGGTGTGACCAAGGCTACCCTCCCAGTGGTGGGTTCCCCAGCAGATGTTCCATACTATTATGTTCCACAGCAGCATCCTGTGGGAGCTCCTGGGATGATCATGGGGAAGCCAGTTGATCAAGCAGCAATGTATGCTTCTCAACAGCCTCGACCACCTGTGTCTTTCATGCCGTGGGCTCAGTCTCAACCTCAACAGCCGCAGCAACAGCAACAACAGGCCCAACAGCAGCAGACGGACACTTAATGATTCTGGCCAAAGCTGTTGCCAAAGCTGTTGCGGGGCATAGCGTGTTATCGTTAGAGATGAGTTTTAGTACCGTTGGATTAGTTGGCGAGTGTGACGCTACACCCTAGTGGATTGTGCAGTGCAGCTAAAGTTAGGTTTATTGTGTATGTGCTCTGTGTCTCTACTGATTTGAAGTTTTAGCTTTTCGCGTGTTATTATCTCGGATTTAAAAGTTTGAAAATTGACTTAATTTTTTTAGTGCTTTTGATTGTTACCTGCTTTGGCTGCTGTAAGTTTTTCGTCCATTATTTGCCAACGTATGTGAATTGACCAGAAACCAAATATGCCTGGATTCCACTTCTTGTCGTGGTGTTGTCCTTTGTCATGATTTTCCTTACGAAGGCCAACTCTCTCCTCTTCCTTCTACTCGTTAAAGCTTCGTCTTTGATTGGAGAGATTCTTGCATAGAATTAGGATATTCTCATATTCTTATAACACTCGTCACGCCCGTTAAAATACGAGAGTATTTCTATGGTGACACAAGTCTGTCTCCTTTGACCACGTACTTATCAAGCATGCATGATGACTACCTAAATCCATATTTTCACTAGTTTACTTTGTCAAAATTATGGGGGAAAAAAAAAAAGCGGAATATTTTGCGTTGCAAAATACATGAACTAACATGATAATGTATATTTGACGTGAAAATTTTACAATCTTGGAATTTCAACCGTTAAATCATAATCATTTTATCTTTGAAAAATTAGGGTTTAATTCACCAAACTTCGTTGCTCAAACATCAGGACCTTTTCCTCTGTTTTTCAGCTTTCAACAATCACCGTCTCCTCTGCGGTAATTTTCCCATTTCTACTCTATTTTCAAATAATGGATCATAATTATCAACCAAAAAAAATCTCATTGAGCCATTTCGTCGGACACCTAATAGGCACTTGCCAATTTCTGTCAACATATCTCAAAAGTTTATGCCAACATATGTTGACAACTACTATAATTTGTAGAGACTTGTTGAGAGTGGATGCAGGATAATGTGGGTAATGTTGAATTCTGTCAAGGCTATGGTAGAAGAAAATTAAAAAAGTAGAAGGAGGAGGTTGTAATTTAGTTTGCTTATACGGGTCTAAACAATATACAAACAATATACATAAATTTTTGAAGCTGTTAGAGGTCAAAAACAACTAATGACCCATGCTAGCTCCACCACTGGATGCTCTGAAACAAAGATGTGATCGCCTTCGAGGCATTGCAGGGAGGATTCAGGCAGTGTTGGGGGACATACCGACGCAAGGCGTGAGGGTGCAGTCAGCTGAGCTGGAGGGATCCAAGAGCTACAGCTCTATTTATGATCTTCTTGTGCCTCGTTTACAAGAGGTTAATAAAGGAAATTAAGGTATGATTAGAGGAAATCGAGTTTGACTGAGATAAATCGAGGTAAAATGGCAAGTAACAAAAGAATGCAGTTAATTGTAAACGAGATAAATGAATTAATTAGACTTGAAATAGCTCTCCCACATATGGATAAAAACCAAAATTTGATGAAGATAAATCAAGGTTTCACCCAATGGCGGCGTCAAAATTTCAGCTTAGAAGAGGTCTAAAAATTTCATCTTAAAGTGCTCTTCTGATATAAGAAGAATAAGGATTTGTCATGCCCTAAGTACCGACAACGATTATTTGAGTTTGGTGTCATGTTGTTCTTGTCATCCTTTTCCTCAACTCTCCCCCGTGTCAAGTATCATGACTTAGATACAAAATAAAAGTCATTGTAAGTGGTGAGGGGAAGAAGGAAGGAGGATGAGAATAAAGCAAAAATAAAAATAAAAACCAAACTCCCGCTTACTTTCCGTCTCTCCCTCTTCTAATCAACTAAGTTCCTGTCACTGCATAAGAGCCACCAGCCTCAAATCGAACCTAGTGAAAGAAATAAGGAAAAGATTCTGATTTAGGTCCAAATCCCCTGAAATGTCTTTGGAACTCACAAGAATAACTTCAATTTTTTGTGTGAAAAAAATATATGAAGGTAGGCCCGGGACCATTTTGGTCCCTTCATGGCTTCACCCATGGTATCACCTAGTGATCTCCTGCACATAAAACTAGAGGGCCTCAGTCGACCTGGGTTTACTTATTATGTATGAGAAAGAGAATAAATGATTATGATTTCAAATCATGCATTTACTAGCACTTTAGGGAATGCATAAATTATGTATTTCTATCAATTTCAAGTACGGAATACCTGAAAACAGAAGATATCCCATTAACATATCAAGTATCCCATTAACATATGGAGGGTTGTCTAATGCTGCATACCTAATCCTTCAAATCCTCATTCTTTCTAGTCCTTCATTCCTTCATATCACCATACTATGTACGTAAACATGCCTAAGAACAACAGAAAATTCAGTAATGAAAAAAAAAAATCGTTACCTGTGAGCAAAATTTACATTTCGACATGCTTATGTACTTGAAATGTGACTCTAACACTACAATTCATTAAAACCAAGATTTGTTTGATTCAAGAACAACTAATCAACATCCTCGATATCGCTTCTTAGAAAAGGAATATCATTATTTGGAGAGCAAGATTTGCACTTTCTGACGTGGTACGTACTTAGGATGTAACTCCGACTCTACAATTTGGAAAAATACATTGAAAACCCGAAAAATAGATTGATGAGAAGTAGGAAATTGCAATTGCCCCAGTAGATTTCCAAAACCAATTAGCCAATCAACAAGATTTCAATTAATAATTAGCACTAATCCACACCATCATCAATAATAAAATTAAAACTCTACTATTCATCCACTGCTAGTCTTCTCGTCTTTATTTTGGACGGTGATATTTAGACATCTCTTTTTATTTTCACAAAATTAACCCTAACCCGAAATTCAAGAACCAAAATTAAAAACGGTGACTTTCCTTCAAATTATATATTCAGTCTTCATCGACTCCTTCAAAAGCCCAAGCATACTCCTCGCGAAGCTTCTGTTCTTCCTCGGGCGTGTAATCGCTCTCGACGCCGAACAACTTCCTCACGTACTCGACGCTCTTGTTCTTGATCCGATCCGCCACGGTCTGGTTCAGCACTTCCAGCAATAGATCGACGTGCAAGAAGTCGGCGGCCAGGATCAGCTCCATCACGCTGTCGGTTGTTAACTCCCTGACGAAATCGGTGCTGATTTTCCTCAGCTCCTTCCTCCACGCCTCATCTTGCTCCACTTTCCGATGCAGATGTTGGGTTTTGGTGCAGAAATCGATGATCTTCACGAGCTCCGCGCTGTGCACGTTCGGCACCGGCATCACCATGTCGCCGACGCCCTCGTCCTGGAAGAACGACTTGACGGTCTCGAACTGCATCGCGATATCCCCGTCGATCTCGAAGACCTCGCCGTCGGAGGTCTTGAGGGAGATCTTCTTCTTTTCCCCGCCGTCGTTTTCCGTCGTAGACGGCGCCTCGGAGGCGGAGGCTTCATTCTTATTTTCCTCAGTGGCAGAGGCGGAGGATGCAGGGTCTTCAATCGTCTTCTCCTCGGTCGACATGTCGTTTTCTGATGGATTCACGAAGGTGGGTTTGTAAATAGATTGGTGGTGAAATTGGGAAGACAAAGAAGGGGATTATATAGGGGCGCATTAATGATTTTTCCAAAGGAATTTGGGAGTGGGATTAGTGAATGAACCCTAAAAACATGACATTTGTTGAAAATTCGGCGAAAAATTAGGGAGTTGTTTGGCAGTGGATTTTAATCGTTAATCGTAATTATTCTTTGCTAATCACACATTGGGACGGGAAAGCATGAAATATGGGCAAGGAAATAGAGAAGACTCGGAGTGTCCGCGTGAGGAGGAAGACCGGGTAAGTGTTAAGAGGAGGTAGTGGCTAAATTATACTTAATGTGAAATGAGACTAAAAGATCAATACTTTCTTTTTTTAAGGTTAATACTTTTTTTTTTCTCTTTTTTTTTTTTTACAAATGATAATGTGATGAGGGAGCGGACTAAGGAAGATAATATAGAGTGTACTAAGAGGTGTAACTTTTTTTGTGAACTTACCTTTACTCAAAGAGAGAACATTTCAATAATATATGAAAAAATATGCGTTTCAAATAGATGGACAAATCTTCATCGGGATGTTATATATTACCAAATCATTGATTTGTTCGATACAATTTAAATGATAAATAAAATGAACGATTCTAATTACGATTTTTGCACGAATACATTCATTGCGTTTGGGCGGATGAATGTGTTATCCTAAACATGCGTTACATATATCAAACTTCTAATGTAATCATATATTGTATCTTGTATAAGAGTGATATGATAATTAATTCAGAATTATAGACAATGGTTGGTTGGACAACAGAACTCTATGAACAAGGTTTACAAACCTCTCTGGTTGAGTAATTCTTACCCTAATCAAGAAACCAAAACCCTAACATCCAAATTTTCACCTCGGCTCTCCTTCTGAACATTTCCCATCGTACGAAACCAAAACAAAGCCAAAAAGAAATGAATTGAATCCGTATGCAAATATATATTGAAAGACCAACATAACGAAAGAAGAGATGATCGAATTAATAGTTACTTTTCACAACATACAAAGTTTGAAATTTAATTAACAAAGAAACAAAGCAAGCTTAAAAATAGGACATTGTATCCTTGTATTAAAGGCCTACTCTACAAAAATGATACTATTGAAGTTTTTCGGTTCGAGATAGGCGCCAATTACTTGTCAGATTTTTCCCTTTTCCTCTTCTTGCTCCTTTTCTTCAGTAAACCTTTCTCTTCTAGCATCTTCAGCTTTTGTTTCTTCCGTTCTTGTTCCTTCTCTTCAAACCCATCATCCAGCATCTTCATCTTTGCAACACGCCTAGCCTTGAAAACCTGCGCGTTCAAGGTATAATACATAAGCAAACATTTCCGAAACTAAAAGTAGGCATTGATGACTAGCTTTTCAACAAGCTTTACTTAACCAATAGGTCGTACATGTATTTCAATTATTTCTTTCAACTGAAAAAATGCAATACCTTGGTAATATCAGCAAGAGCGTCGTTTTCCTTGCATTCAAATTCCTCCATTTGTTTCCCTACAACTTCTTCTATTTTCTTAACGAGGTTTACCTCTTTCTGCAAAAAAGCAATCTCCCTTGTTAACAAAAACACATAATCACTTTTTTTCAAACAAATAATATTTCTCTTCTTCAATCAAAAAAGTAGAAAGAAAAACATCTTCCTCCCAATTCTCAATAGTTGGAATTATGAACTACAAGTGAACGACCACCTCAAGATTTCTTCAATTGGAGGGAGGAAACTAGGAGAGAGATTACTAAGCTACAAGTTGCTAACAATAACCCATTTCACAATGACCAATTCTGCTACTGCTACTTACTTGGGTAATGAAGCTTATGGCTAAACCTCCTCTGCCTGCTCTTGCAGTACGCCCCACACGGTGAACATAATCCGTTGGATCCCTGTAAGTACATGGCAATTAGATTCTACTTGAACTACATTTTCTCAGAAGGTAGCAATAATAGGTCAACTGGAATAAAACCTTGGAATATCGTAATTGATAACTAGGTCGACTGTCGGAATGTCCAAACCACGATTGGCAACATCAGTTGCGAGCAACACAGGAACCTGTCCAGATTTGAATCGATGTAATGCAGCAAGTCTTAGAGACTGGGACTTAAATGAATACAACGCTGAAAATCTTTGATCAAGCTCCTCTAGTAACAAACTCAAAAGGTGACAAGTCCTGCTCACACATTATAAAATCATAATTTGATAATTATTTAATAGTGCATGTCAATTGGTTAGCCGTTCAACAAACGAGCCAACCATGGCACCATAACATATGACAAATATCGGAAAAGAGAGATACCTGCATTTTGCAACAAATATGATGGCAGAGCGAACACCCATATCTTCAAGTTTAGACAAAATGTGTACCAGATAAACATCCTTCACACTTTTGGGTTTGTAAACATATTGCTGCTTTAGAGTGTCAACTGTTCTGAAACCTTCATATGCCTCGTACTTGTATGCCTTATTTGCAGAAGGTCTATTCAGTGCTCGGAGTTCACTTGTCATAGTTGCAGAAAATAACAGAGTTTGCCGACTCTTTGGCAAGCACTCAAACACCGCTCTCAGCTCCTCTTCAAAGCCAACATCCAATAATCTATCTGCTTCATCCAGAACTAGAAACTGAAACGAAATTAAATATTCTATAAGTACAGAATTCATAGTGAAGAGGACAAGCTGAATCCGTCGTTGTTATCATCGTCAAATCACCAATTAATTAAGATCCTAATCTTGCCATAGATAAACTAATTTTCGAATTTGTTACAATTGTCCTATTCAGATCATCATTCCTTTAAAAATTTCTTAGCTTCCCATCCATATCCGTTTTCAAAAAGAAGCCGAAAACTCAGTTAAATCGCACATTACCCATGTAACCACATTGCAATCTCATACAATACAAAATAATTGACCAAATTACTGACGAAAACAAAATGGCAGATACGAGTTACCTTGGTGTTAGAGAACACAGGACGAATATCCTTCTGGCCAAGCATGACCTTAATCCTCCCCGGCGTGGCGATCACCACATGCGGTCTGGCCGTCAAGCTCTGAGTTTGAGTCAAGCTATCCATGCCTCCGACAACCACAGAGCATCGCAAGTGCAAAGACGCCCCCAGAGCCCTAAACTGCTCGGCCAACTGGTACGCCAGCTCCCTCGTCGGCGTGACCACCAGCGCGAAAACCCCGAAAGGGTTCTCGGAGAGCCGCTGCAGAATCGGCAGAGCGAACGCCGCCGTCTTGCCGCTACCGGTCTGGGCGATGCCCAGCACGTCCCGGCCCGCTAGGATTTCGGGGATGCAGTGGGATTGGACCGCCGTAGGCTTTTTCATACCAAGCTCGTCGCATGTTCGGAGGACCCAGTCGGCGAGGCCGAGGTCGGCGAATGTAGCGGCGGAGTCGGGGTTAGGGTTTGTGGATTTTTCTATTTGGAAGTCAGGGGCGGAGGAGGCAGTAGTTGTGGCGGGCTTAGGGTTTTTGGAGGGTTTTGGGGATTTGGGTGCGGCGGGTTTGAAGAGAGGGAAGCCGACGGACACAGTATTTTCTTCTTCAGCCATCGTGTTTTGGTTTCGCGGAAGGTGGCGGCTGAAAGTTTTAACCTTTGAGTAGGGTGTGACAGAAACGACACCGCTTGGTTGCCAATTATTAGCGCCAAAATTAAAATAAGGGCTAGCTGCATTTTACACCATAAGATATAAGATTAGGTGTTCATTTGCAGTCGCGAGTTTTCAGTTTTGAATATTACACCACGTAATTTTGAATTGTATAAATTTTACCCCTATGTTGATTTTACCGTTTAATTACATGTTGAGTGGTAAGTCTAGTGACGTGGTATAGTCTCGACCCATATTTGAACTGTCAAATCAGCATTTAATGTCTAATTAGACAATAAAATCGATGAAAGGATAAAATTAGTGAAATTCAAAAATTACATAGTGAAATCTGAAAATTGAAACCTCACCGCTTATATTGCAAATGACTCCAAATCTTGTAATGCAAATGCAATTAGCCCTTAAAATAAGCTTAAAAAATAAAAAATTAATAAGTTGGAAGGAAAAAAAAGGTGCAAATTATCCATTACTCCACAAAGAATTAAATTTGAACCAATTTAAACCACTTTTGCATTTGAGCATACGAATCTTCATTAACTATTTATGTGATTTGAGCGACAATCACTTCTATAAGGCAATCAACTAATCATTTAGCTTATTTTTTCTTTCCTCCCTAACTTTTGTCTAGCACAAACTTTGCAATCCAAAGTAACGTTACGCTAAAGATTTAGAATGGACAAGTCTCATGTTAGATCAAAATTAGGCTACCTTATGGTCTAACTAATCTTCTTCTTCAAAAGAGACACTCTCTTATCATCAATTCATCACGTAGTAAATTTCTATCAGATAAACTATTCATTTTTTAATACGCATGAACATTAAACTAGTTGGAAGATGCCACTAATCCTATGAATTGGTTGTAAGTGAATACTTTCTTGTGCATATGGTTAGAAACTCAGAAATAATAGTTGTTTAAATTGTTAATATTTTATAAGTTTAGCTAGTGATGTGAATTTTTTTTTTTTTTTTAAATAAGTAGAGCGTGGTTTTGAAAGTGACAAAATTTCGTAATTAGCTCAATAAAATATAACAATTTTATTTTGGACCACAAACTGTATACATTGACCAGTGTCGCCATACGAAACACATCAGGCAAATGTATAGGCAAACAGGAGCTGCGTAGATGCAAGCAAGAGAGAGGAGCAGATAGAAGAGAGCGAGATGGAGTCGCCGTTCAAGGCTGATGCGGTAATAGGGAAGGTGGCTCTGATAACCGGAGGTGGGTCAGGAATTGGGTTGGAAATGTCGACCCAATTCGGCAAACATGGCGCCTCCATTGCCATCATGGGCCGCCGGAAGCAAGTGCTTGACTCAGCCGTCTCCGAGCTTCGATCTCTTGGAATTCAGGTACCTTCTCTTTTGTCAAGCTTTTTATTTTCTGGGGACTGTTTGGTTGCTCAAAAAATTGAGAAAAATGGAATAGATACGATTCTGTTTGTTCTTTGTGATCAGTGAACTATTTTGGAAATTGGGTAATGAGAAAAGTGAGGAAAGATGTTGGATTTGTATGCATTATCAGTATGCTCTGATTCCCCAGCTGGGTCTTTTTAGTTTTTGTTTGTGTTTCTGGTTTGCTGAATTGTGGGGTTGTTTGGTTGCTGAGAAAATGAGGGAAATGAAATGTGGTTCCTTTTTCAGAAAAAGATAATAAATGTAGTCTGTTGTTCTGCTTGGTTGATTGAAAAAGCGGGTGAATTTCCGGATTTTATTTCGGAGTTTCAGTTATACTTTATATGCCCATCTGGGTTTACCGTACACTATCTCAACTAAAATTGATTTTTGAGTGCCAAGGAATTACAGTGTTAAATACTTAAGTTAATATGCATTAGCGGATTCTTTGCTCGCATGATCATTGCATTGGTGTAAACTTTGGAGTTGAAAGGGCATGTGTCGGTTGTTTTTGGTTGAAATGTGTTTACAGGTAATGTTTTGTCTGTTAATCAAAACCAATAACTCTTAGTCACCCATCGAACAACTGCAAATTAACCAAAGAAGAACTTGTGTGCACTTTGGGCAATAAAAAGGAATGGTGATTCTGTTGGTCGAGCAGTTTAGGGTTGCACTATGATCTTAGATATGAATCTAAAAGTCGAAAGCCATTAGCAACACAAGGAGTAGGTTCTAGAGTTTACCTGGCGGCTTGAGATCTTCACTATGGTCTCATTCACCGGCATGAAATGGCTCAAAGTCCAATTGTGGGAGTAGTGATTTAGTATTTTTTCCTTTTGTATCAGGCTGTTGGTTTTGAGGGAGATGTTCGTAAACAGGAAGATGCAAAAAGAGTGGTGGAATCAACTTTCCAGCATTTTGGTAGGCTTGACATACTTGTGAATGCTGCAGCTGGCAATTTTCTTGTATCAGCAGAGGATCTATCACCTAATGGATTTCGAACAGGTTGGATGTTGTAACAATCTTTATCATATGTTTGGACATATGAATTTATTTATTTTCTTCATTTCAGTATCAAATGAAATTCTCCTTGTGTATGTATGGGCTAAAACTTTTTCAGCCAATGGTTGAGCACTGTTTTTGGTGAAAAACTGCATAAGTGGAGTGCAAGGTTTTCTCTAGCTTGGGATCTTAATATATCAAGTGAAAAGAATCTTTTGAAATTTCAAAGAAATTAGGTTAACACAAAAAAAATATATTATTAAAGCGTGCTGAAATCAAAAGAAAGCAGGAATGCGTGGGTGCATCCATAAACTTGCTTGTCAGTTTACTTTTTAAGGATATGATCCAGCTATCTTAGCCTTTTAACTCAATTGAAATGGGCGAACAGAGATTAAACAAACTGAATGAGATCCAGTTATTAGATCTATATTTGATTTACTAAGGTAAACTCAAAGTTGTAGTACATATTGTACATATTGAGAGTTTTCACTAGATTATCATCAGCCTATTAAAACGTCTTCATTTGTAGATGCTTTGAAATTTTGACCCAATAAACCATATATTTCATTTCTTCCCTGTAGTTATGGATATTGATGCTGTTGGTACATTCACAATGTGCTACGAAGCACTCAAGTATCTTAAAAAAGGAGGGCCCGGAAGGGGCTCATCTGGTGGTGGAACAATATTGAACATCAGTGTTACTTTACATTATACAGCCGCTTGGTATCAAGTCCATGTATCAGCAGCCAAGGTTGGTTTGATATATTTTCAGTTGTTATATCTTGTTTTTGTGATAAGTATATTCAAAATGATCCCTTTCCAACAGGCAGCTGTTGATGCCACTATGAGAAACTTGGCACTCGAGTGGGGAACTGACTACGACATTAGGGTCAATGGAATAGCACCAGGTCCCATTGGTGATACACCTGGCATGAGTAAACTTGCACCTGCGGAGATAAATAGCAAAGCTAGAGATTACATGCCCTTGTATAAACTAGGGGACAAATGGGATATTGCTATGGCGCTCTCTACCTTACTTCGGATGCAGGTTGGGTAGCATTTGCTTGTGCATTTTAATATCATCATCGTCATCTTTGTAGCAACATGTGATTAGCAATATCAGTATCTCTTGCATAATCGTAAAGTTTTGTGCTGCAACCCCCTTTAAAAAAGAGTATGAAATACTGCAATTATCAAACTGCAGGAGTCCATCCTGGTTTGATATGTATCTGATTTCAGGACTTTTCATGCACATTATCTCTTGATGCTTCAGCTTTTTAGCGTTATCCAGTCCCATCATGCTTTCAGTTGAACAAAATATCCGTGCAAAGCTTTAGTCAGTCGGAAATAATAGAAAATGAAACCAAGTAACAAAACATTGAGTTGGTCTTGATGCTTGTGTCTACGGGTTTTGTTACTCCTCTTTTATCAACATCGCTTTTCCATTTGTATCGTTGGAAACTTATTTGTCATTGTAAATTTTTCAGGTAAATTCATCAATGGAACTGTCATTGTAGTTGATGGGGGACTTTGGCTGAGCCGGCCTCGCCATCTGCCAAAAGAAGCAGTGAAGCAGCTTTCTCGAACAGTAGAGAACAGATCTAGAAATGCACCAGTAGGGGTTCCAAGCAGCAAGTTGTAAGCACAGGATAAGTACATGATCATTTTTACGGTTACCTCCAACGCTTATAAAACTTAGTTCGCTGCTCATAAGAATTCCAACAGAGGAATCCATCTCCATTAATTGAGAACTCGCGACGAACCAAAAAAAAGGGAAAATTCAATAGAAGTTGAATGTTTCGAATGCTTCTGAAATTTAGGAACCATTTCATATATAATTTTGGCTCACAAACGTTACGTAATGGATTTTGATTATGCTGTTCTGAGTTGCAATCTTCCGAAAAATGAATCAAATACAAAATTGACATGAAGCAACACTGAGCCTTATTCTTTTTTTTCTTCAATAAACTCATCCGAGCCTCATTTCGAAACAGGAAACAATCCCTTTACATGTGACTATCCACAGCTTGATCAGCAATCCTCTATCGTTGTAGCGACGTATAAGGCTCAGCGGATTATAGGTTTCAGAGCTTCAACAAAGTCAATTTCTCAGGCAAAATGGCGTCCTGATATGCAACGTGTGGCCAGTCATGTCTGCTGGGAATTGACTTGACTACAAGCTAAGGTTGATCCCGGCTGCTTGAATTTCACAGGAAAGTAACATCTATGCAATGAATCGATCAATGATTTCCAGCAATAGTTTAACATCTATGCAGTGGTGCAGGATATACGTCCAGGGGTTTATACCGCAACTTATCATTATGCGGCAACGGTCCATCCAAAAAATTTAACCAAATAAACGTAAGCTGGAATCATCTCAAGAAACTAGTCTTCCAAAAGGCACTTTGAAGGGAAGAAACAGATACTATAACAAAAGAAATAATCTTAAACCATTAGGATACTATAACAAAAGAAATAGTCCAAAATGTGCCTATTGTTTGTCAAACCATTCTTTGCGAGTTCTTCTGTTTCTTCAATGTACTGCAAGCAACCAATACCAAATACACACAAAATGTAGTTTTCGACGAAATATATGAGGCCACTATCATTCGACAGGACCACTAACATTCAGTAGTATCCTTTTTGGATAGCATTAGAAATGATAAAAAATAAAAAAAAGAAGCAAATTAAATTACCCTTGTCAGCTCTCGAGTAAATAGCTCAGACACTTCAAGCGTCATGTTGGCTGGAATCACATGGGGGTCATCCCACTAACGTCACGGACAAAGATAAGAAAATTTAGTCGATCAAGATTATCAGACAAATAAAAAGATCAAGGTTGGAGCATTTTTTTTTTTTTTTATATAATTGCAAGTTTGGAAAATAAGATTACCCTGTATCTTATCAACTCGTCATCTGGACTATCTGGTCGATCCACATGTCCAACTCTCTTTGTTAAAGATGTAAGCCCCACCTTGAATTTTGAGGGCTGATAACCATCTCTCGAGCAATCTGAAAATATGATAACAATCCATGTTTTTGACAAATCTCATGAAAAACTCATCTTGCCTATGAGGCATTGACGTATTCTGCAATTAAGCAAGGGACTGCTACAATGTTCATCAAAATGATTACAGCAGCAGAAAGAGAGAAGCTGTGGTTGACACTACTTCTGCCAAGAGGATTACTTGAATGCATATCCCTCTCATTCATATATGCCCTGAAAAACTAGGGTTCACTTATCAATGACTTTGCTAAATTTAAAGAAGGGGAGAGATAAAAGGAAATGAGCTAATTGCACTTTCACTGGCTTAAATACATGTAAACGCCTCAGGTACACAATAAACTTCAAAGCAAAGAATGTTAAGCGGGCAATTGATTCACAGTTCCTTTATATTTCATTATTCTTCCAGAGAAGTAATTAGTATTGTCATTACCTTTGTTATCTTCTCCAAATCATCCCTTTCTCCATCAGTTATGTCATTACCAAGCACAACACGCTCAGCACAACGCCTACCATGAGCTACCACCATTTACATCATCATGTAGCCAAAGGTCGTATAACCTTGGTCTACCATATCTTCTCGGGGGAAGAACGCAGATATTGCAGTTTCCTGTTCATGTTAAATAAACCTCGTCAAAGACACTCCCAAAGAATTTCAATACCATACACTAACAATTTTTACTAATACCATAATTTGTACCTTTCCCCCAGGCAGAAGCTGAGAAAATGCATGCCAATCAAATTGAGGAAACAGATGAGCCAACACTATGTGACCAGCTTCATGAACAGCTAGCAGTTTCTTCTTTCCGACGACACCTATGATATAATTACATAAAACTCAGTGATCAAATAAAAATCATACAACACTTGTTACTGCTGAGGAAACCACTAAAGAACAATCAACACAGACATACACTCTGTTCGTATTTCCATTGCTCTTCTTCAGTGAGCGGTACACCCATACCCTCAAGCAATTGTTTATCTAATACATCAACAATGTCTTTCTGGTAGATCTTGGAACGACCTTTCCTCACCTGAAAAATGAAGGGTACAAAACAACATGCAAATATAAACTTGAGAGAAATACGCATGAGAAGCTTTCTTTTCAAAATAACAGATTCACATTTTATTCAAAAGTTAAATATCATGTCAAACATCAGTTAAACAATTTTTTATTGAGATCCCAGTAAACACTTACACCACTTCACCAAATATTACTATTCGCAAAGAACGCTCATGAACCATAGTTATTACCGAAACTTGAATAAGCATGCACCAATTACTAAAATAAAAAGAACCAAGCCAAGAGATCACACACTTTTCCAAAGTCTACATCTTCTGCAAGTTGCTTTCCAGCACTGTGCACATAAAAAATTTGCACTCGTTGCTGTGCATCAGGCAAACCAATATACAGTCGACGGTCAATGCGCCTAGGCCGAACAAATTCGAGGTCTAACTCATCTGGTCTATTCGTAGCACAGAGGAATATCACAGCTTGTCTAAGAGAGAACCTATCAACACCAGTTTTTTCCTTCCTATATATGAACACACACTGAACATTAAAATTATTATATAAGGAAAATGAGAAGCATGTAGCTTTGTTTAAATAATATACTTACTCCCCATCAAGCTGTGCAATCAAAGCCTCAAAAGTTGCTCTCCTTCGAGGATCTAATCTTGCATGCCTTCCAGCAATAGCATCGATTTCATCCACAAATACAAAAGAAGGAGCCTGAGGGAAGGATAGTAAATTACAATACTTTGTATTAGTGTTCTCAAAGAAAATAAAAAGCACCATATTCAGACTGCAAAAACATGTTTTGCATTAGTGTTTTAACTTTCCAGTGAGAATTAAAATATCAATCATCATCGGTGTTACAACAATTGCTCCACAACATTATGACTCGTAGGTTCGTGATAGACAAATATTTTGCGGATGATCTCCTAAAGGAAATCTCATTGTGATAATCTGTGATATTACATCTGTAAATTAGAAAGAGAAGCATGCTTACATTTCTCCTTGCAATTGAAAACATTTCATTAATTCTTGCAGCACCACTTTTCTCACTGTCTGTGAACTCAGCACCCGAAGGAAAAACAAATGGCATTCCACTTTCCTTGGCTAGTGTCCTCGCAAACAGTGTTTTGCCAGTTCCATGAGGTCCAGATAGAAGAACACCCTGTTAGGAATAATTATCAAAGAACTTTTTATTTTCTATTTTAAGATTTACAATATTCAAGGCAAAACTCCAGCAGAGTAGTCTTTATCTTTCAAGAAACAAGATAAACTTACTCGGACAAACTTGACGTCTCTCTCATAGTATTGCATTGGATTTCCCATATAAACCATCAACTCATCAAGAAGATCCCAAACATCACCTCCTAACACAACTTCCTTGGACATTGATTTTGTTTCCCCCACATCTCCAACTGGCTGAACGAGTATAAAGTGCATTGAGAACTCAATAATAACCATAATAATAAGCATAATAACGAAGTAAATTATTTGGAAATTTACCAGGATAAAGTTTTCCGCATAAGCCATATCAAATAGTTGATTATACTTGTTGTAAAGGAATCGCTTAGAAGTGATGTGCAGAAGCATCACAGACTCGCGTATAAGCCAGAGAATAAGTATCCCAGGCACCAATGCAATCAGAACTTTCATAAAGTAGTGAATCTAGCGCTTTTGAAGAAGATCAACTTCAACTCCAGAACTTGAGATAATCTCAAACAAGTAACGGTTTAGAGGGATATCAACCTACCTATGACAAGGACTTGGCAGATTCTCCTAGTTTAATTAGGGTTTTATTTTCTATTTTATATTATTATTATTTAGTTTCTTAGTGGGAATAAAATACTTTTTGTTAGGGTTTGTGCGCTGGCTTTACGGGATATTAATAAGGCTTTGGCCGGTTTTAGTTTGGAAGGCTTTCTTTTATGCAATTTTGGAGTCAGAGAGTAATTGCTAGGGTTCTTAGAGATTTTTTACTTTAAGGTGTTTTCATTTCTTTTATTCTTAATAATATTTTCTATGATTTCAATTATGAATATGCTCAACTAATTCCTTTTTCTAGGGCGAAGCCTTAAGTCTTAGCATGAATATGTGATTTTTATTTAATTGCTTATCGATTGCATGCATACTTTGAATTATTGATCACCGTGATTAAAACTATCTAATTGTCTTCGATCACCATTAAGATCTTTAGAAAAGTAATTTAATGTAATTTTGGTCGAAAGGTTCCCTAAATTGACGTTGACTTCTTGTGATTAATAATTGTAATTTCACTTAAGATGAACACCACGTCTTAAGGGTTGTATGGTTTTTCAAAGGGTTTTCATAAAACATAATGAGTCTTTCATGTTCAGATTTGATCCACGTCCAGACGGGTTGCATGTTAGATATACGTTCTATATTGGAGGTTCCAAATAGAATATAAATTAGGAAAACCTTACCTTCAAAGTGGCATGTGTAGATTATAAGTAATTGGGAAAACTACATAGGATTGATAGGTGATGGTGGAACCCTAGTGCTTTCTTAATTTGATTTTTCTAAAATAGTTTTCTTTCCCCTTCATCTTTAATATTGCAGATTAGTTTATTTTTATTAATTAAATTCGTTTTAATTTAAGTAGACTATAAAACCAATCATCTCAATTTTATGCTTTACAATAATTAATTAGAATTTGGTTTGTTTCGAATTATTTAATAATCCTTGTGGAGAACGTCCTTGCGAGAACCGTTTATACTACAACAACCTTGTCATTCTTGCAAGTAATATAGGAGTTTTTAACCCGTTTGCGTGTGTGGTAAAATCTCTATCAGATATCAACCTACCATATAAGAAAAAACACTAAGCCTTTATAAGTTGAGATAAATGAGGGTGCCTATGAAAAAATTTGGTAAACTTCCAACATATTCTAATGGAAAACCTTCTTTCATGGTAACATATATCCTTTTTAGGTCCTCCGTAAATACAACAGCAGCTACCTGTCCAAAAAGAATCACAGAATCAGAAATTAATTACATAACTCTTGGCTGACAATGTTGGGAAAAAATTCCTTGATTTATCTATTAAAAAGGAGAGGAAAATAAATAACTAAAACAAGTTAGAGCAAATTGTTACCTCAGGGCAGTCAAGCTTTTGAAGAAAGTAGGTATACGGAGGTCTAGGACGATACAACCACCATCTTTTAGCTGTCCATAATGCCCTTGTTCCCTGTGACTCTCTAACATTTTCTACCACATCTTTGCAAAGACTGTTTTCAACCTCTTTCATGTCGAATTTAACTACATACTTAGAATTGGCAGAATCCAACTGCTCAGCTAACTTTTCCTTCTGAAGGATCTCGTTCCATTTTTTAAGTCTTTCACGCCATGTTCCACTATCTTGTTGAACTTCACCTGCAAATCAAACACTAAAAGAATTAGCCAACTATCATTGCAAACTTTTCATGACATTTAACAATAACCATCTGTTAGTTGCAGTTATTTACAATCTCTAAATCCAGTGCAGATTCACAGTACACATTTACAGACATCAAATCGCACAGTTTTTTCATGCTAGATTTGTAATGAAGACCACCTAAAAATACATCATGTAAGTTCTAGACAGACACTGATCCGATATTCCCAAGTCTTCCTCCAGTTCCTTCTTTTCCTCTCGATTAAATTTTACATCACTGTCAATAATTTGTTTCACTTTGTCCTGAGGAAGCTGTGGATCATCATCCCATGCATCCTCTCCTACATAAGAACTATCATGAACAAGTGCTCCACCAGGTCCTTCAACAAACTTATTCATTGTCAAGCCTTTGGGTGTCATCTTCCTCCACATGCCTACATATAGCTACGAAAAATATTCTGAAGAATGGAAAGTTCAACAAAGACTAAATCCACAACGACGAATTGTTGAACAAAAAATACAACTGAAACTGCACACTTTATCTTCATTTGGAGTTTCTCTAAATAAATTCAGGAGAGTTTATACAGCATTGTCCGATATCAATAATATACATAACATGTTGAGAAAATCAAAACAAGCGTTATAGTTCGCATATCAATTGTATAATTCGCACTCCACAAAACTATTTCGAAAGGACTGACCATCATGCGATTCATGCCATATGAACGCCATTGTGTATGTTGCTTGAAGAGTGCTGATAAAAAAGCTAACATTTCCTCTGAATTGCTATCAATAATCTTTATTCAGCTAATTCAAAGTTATATGTAGTACCCGCCACAACTTAATCAAAACAAAAAAACTCAACTTTGAAGCTTCCATTACCTTGCTCTCTGTTATAAAACCATTTTAAAATGTAGTACCAAAAAATAGTAATGCTTCCTCAAATTTAATTAGATTGAAGTAATGATGTTTCAACTAAAAAATTATTATCATTGGTCTCTTAATTCATCAAAACGTGTAGCTATTGTCATTTTCGTTAACACCGTTAAAATGAGTTATGTTCGAAGGATCATTGCTACAATTGGATTAAAGTTGAGGGTCAATGCTCCAATTGGATTAAAGTTCAGGAACCATTTCTCCAGTTGAATTAAAGTTGAGGGACCATTGATGCAATTTTTCGTATTTGATTTTATATATTTGCCCCTTGATTTAGCCTTACGTACATGGCACGTGACTCATTTTGACAGAAGTTTTAACGGAGTTGATGAAAATAACTATAACTGCACTGTTTTGATAAGTTGAGAGACCAATAGTAATAGATTTCTAGTTAAGGAACAAATTGCTCTAATTGGATATAAGTTCACTCTATTTTTCTACTAAGAAATATTCAATATTTAAAAGAGAAAATGAACAACTAGGATAAAAGTCGCCTGATGACTTAAAAAATAATAATAATAATATTAACTGATGGCTTTGCCACGGAGATCAAGAAGACAATCAGAAAAGTTGCATTATGACATATAATGATATAGGAGTAACATAGTTACGGAAATTAGGAAGGAAAATGATATTTCCGTACAATTTGTACCCCAGTCTTACTCTTTTTATTTGTATTGGATTTAAACAAATCGAAGAAAATTAAGGGTCTGAATTATGAGGGTGTGCCAAAAAGAAACCCCATTAAAATACAGATGCAACCTAAGTTTTGATTATTTGTTTTCAAAACTTGAATTTTGAATAAAATAAGCTTTAGAGGTAGAAATGTTTGATTAATTGTCCTTTGTTTGTTGATAAAAGCGATAGAGGGGATTTTGACCCCAAAAATAATCGAAATTAGGCGGAGAGGAGTGAATCACCTCTTTCATTTTTATTTCTCGACTTTGAATTGAATAAAATATAAAAATACTCAAAAGACATAGTTTGAGTAGAAGAGCGTATAAGATCAAAAAAGAATACCAAAGTCACCTCCACACTCTAATTGTTAAGGTCATCTTCAGTCATAGAGGCTAAATGCAGTCATTGGCTTTGTTTTAGTTCTCAAAAGATTAATATTTAAGATTATTTTAGGACTAAATTTTTCCATCCCTAAATGTCCAGGACTATTTATCACTTTTTAAAACCAAACTTAGCGTCTTGGAGTCAAACTTAGCTTGATTTCCCTTAACTCTTTGATTAGAGACCGATTTTATTAATTTTAGAGCTAAATATGACCTATAACCCTCAGAGATGACCTAATATTATCAAGTGGAAACAAGAGTGAGGCAGTGATTATGCCAGCGAAGTATCAAATCTAACATGTGACTGTTCCTAACTTCCAAGCCGGCTTCAAGCAACCCGCTTGTGTTTTCTTCATGGAAACTATATATTTCTACTTCTGCTGATACAAGAAGCATGTTTTCAATTACTATAAAAAGCTCAGCAGTAAAAGCCAAAAGCACCTATAAGTTATAAGCACTTCCAAAAGGTTCAGAAACTCCACCCACTTCCTTCATAGAATATGCAGGAATTAAAAGGTTGCCCCTAAAACCCTAGATGCATGTTTAGACGCATACTATCTGCTATAACTTATGTTTCAAGTTTAATTAGGTTGGAAAGCTAGAAGAAAAGCATACATTATAAAACTCAAGTGGTAAGCAAAATACCAATTGCTTTTCTTGGAAGCGAAACAACAACAAAGGAAATGTTTGTGCAACTTGTGCTCTCTCCTTCTATAGTTCGAGAGAAGAAGTTGAGACATCCATTTTTCATTTCATGTATGTATGATAAGATCATATGAAGTTGTACTTGTTCTAAGAAGGCAATTTCTTTTAGGCTCCATTGTGAAGGACGACGTGGAAGAAGCAATAAGTAGATGTACATGAATCATTTTAGTTGGGTAAATCTAGTTGGTTAACTTAGGACATTGGGTGGATGAAAATCAGCTTCCTTTTTGTTGGTCTAAAGTGGTCAAATTGAACCAAAGTACGCATAAATGACATGTAATAGTTAGAAGAAATGATCTCGAGAGTGGATCTAGTCTTTCATTGTAAAGGTAGTGATTGTATGAAAGTATAGATACAAGGAACTTATTATCACTAACGATTAGCACATAATTTTTTTGTTTTCATGCTCGGTACTTATGCCTTTTCTTCTTACAATAACTATAATAGCATAATTGCTAGACGAGTAATGCTAATCAGACCATGTTTAGCAGACCACATGTGAACCATCATTTTAATATTATGCTTACAAATGAAAAAAAATATTACTAAATATAGTATAAAATGATCTATAAAACAAAAAGTTAAAAACTAATACACAACGGTAGGGGCCAGACCGGAAGCATTGGGGTGCGATAAAAAGGCTATACCTGCTTGGCATTTCTCTCTGGTTGGACTCCCCTTGACTTGAGTGCTCCCCTCAAGCTCTCTCTCTCTCTCTCTCTCTTCTGTCTCTCTCATTCTTCCACTATTTTCTTCCAAAACTCACTCATTATTTCTTTGAATTTGTTTGCTTTAGCTTTTGGTTGCAGTTAAGATCTACCAAATACACCACTACGTTTTGGTTTTCTCCACTACTGCTGTCTGCGTCCGCCATTAAAATACATAAAGAAAGAGAAAAAGGAAAGAAATTTCACAAATTCTAGAGAAACCCACTATTTTCTTCGCTATCTTGTTCTTGAACTCCAGAGCGTCCGACTCAATAGATCCGCCATGCTCAGCCTGCGGCCTCGCCGCGATTCCACTCCGTACACCACCAAATGGCAGAACAAGGTAATGTGTCTCACTCTCGGTCTTTGTTTTATCTACCCTTTTGTTTGTTTGGGTTGAAGGAGTCCAAGAAGTATAATTTAGAAAATGCAATTAATTTTATTAATTTTTTTGAGTATTTAGTTCACTGGCAAAGCAATGTAATATGGGTTATGTTTCTATGAGTTTGATTTTTGAGGTAAGAATTCAAAAGTGGGTACTTTTTGGTTATTTGGTGAATTGGGTTTGTGTAGTTTGAGGAGAATTTGGAGCAGTGGCCACATCTGAAGGAGCTGGTGCAGTGCTACACAACAGACTGGGTGAAGGACGACATCAAGTATGGTCACTACGAGAGTATTGGACCGCCCTCATTCCAGAACCAGATTTATGAGGGTCCTGACACTGACATCGAAACTGGTATAGAACCCCCTTCTTTCGGTCTTTTAGTCTTTCGCTTACTTGAGCATGCAGACAAGGGGGTGCATTTGGGTTTATGTATCAGAAGGGTTTTAAGTTTGTAGATTAAGTCTCTGGAAACTTTCCTAATTAAGCACCACACTCCCTTTTTTGTTGCACGGTTGAAACCCTTTTTGCAAAAGTATATAATTGGGTTAAATTTGTACATTACCGTTATCTGGTTGAAACCCATTTTCTTAGAGTGCTTAAGTAATGATAAAAGTTTGATTCTTTCTCCTGTATTTCTTATTTTATCTACCTGGTTCTAAAGGCAATATTAAGAGAAAACTATAGAATTCTTGTAATTTGGTTTTTTGGCATAGGATATTTAGTTTGTGAAAAATCTAAAGGTAGTGATAGATTTAGGGAGTAATGTTTATCCTGCCTTGAGTGGGTGTCAATCTTGCAAAATAGTGGTGTAATCCAAGTATTAGAACTGTTTATTTGATTGGCTGCCTGTTAGATGCTAATGTTTGAGAATAACAAGTTAATTTGCAGTAGAGTTCTTGATATATCTTGAATCCATTTGCAGAAATGCATCTTGCAAGTGCAAGGCAAACCAAGGTGGAAGATACTACTGATGATGACGTCCCCAGTACCTCAGGACGACAATTCACTGAAGCTACTGTATCGGATTCAGTACAGTCCAATGATCCAAAGGTTGTACTGGTTCAAGGATAGGTTTATACATTCAACATAAGTTTAACTTTATTCAGTACCTTACTTTTTCTAATCAATAAGTTCATGACCCCACCTGCCCCTTTCTAGTGTTAATTCTCTTAAACGTGGTACTGTACATGCAGCATTTTGGTCAATCTCCCCTTCCTGCTTATGAACCAGCGTTTGATTGGGAAAATGAGAGGTCAATGATATTCGGACAAAGGATTCCAGAAACTCCAATATCTCAGTATGGCAGTTCTACAATCTTTTTGTTGACTAGAAGTTTGTTTCTGCTTCTCTGGTTCTTTGTCCCTGTGCTTATTAATTGTCTTTTTCTCTATTCAATTGGGCTGTCTTAGTGGATTGAAGATCTCAGCGAAGGTTCTTTCCCTGTCATTTCAAGCGGGATTAGCTGGTGAGTGATATGCTCTTTGTACTGGTGCTGTATCATTGGTGCTCACTTTGTACTACTGCTTTTGTAATGTTGAGATGTTTCAAGATTTCTGACTTTGTGCTCTCTCTCTCTCTCTTTGCCCTCTCCTCCCTCCATCTCTCATGCAGAGCCATTTTATGGTACAATGTGCTTAT